AAGATTTTTTTTTTTTTTTTTTTTGGAAACTAGGTAAACTGATTCTAGGGTTCAAAAGGAAATTTCTAAGATAATAATAAAGTATGAGCAGCCTTCCTAGATATGAACATATAATATGATAGTATGGCAGTTGAAAAGTCCATAGATCTAAATATATGCATTAAATGTATGCTAAATGTGGCACTTCGAATCCATGGGAAAATGAAGGATTTGTCAGTAAATGGTTTGGGGACAATTAACTTGCCAAAATACAGTTGGTTTCCTTCCTTATGCATTACATCAAAATAAATTTCAGATGGATCAAAACTTTTATTAAATCCTTAAAGAAATAGAAGAAAAAATGAGACCTTCTTAACTTGGGAAAACCTTTTAAAATATTACACAAAACCCATAAGAAGGCATAAAGAAAATACTGAGAAATTTTATTCCTTCAAAATTTCAATCCTTAAAAAATTTTAAATGGAAAAGTTCACAAAGTTAAAAGATACGCAACAAGTTGGGGAAAATATTTGAAACTCATATCATGAAGGCTTAATCTCCTTAATATAAAATATGCCTATAAATCAATAAGAAAAGAATAACAAACTATTAGATAAACTGATGAAGGATATGATAGACAATTCACAGAAAAAAAAATAAAAATGCCTCTGAAATCCATGGAGAGATGTCCAGCCTCACTTAATAAAAACGCAAAATAAAAACACCCTGAGATATCCTTCTTTCTTCACCTATTAGATTGGCAAAGATAAAAGAGTTTGACAACATTTTGAGTTGGTGATGATTTAGGAAAATAGTTACTCTCTTATAATACTAGTGGGAGTGCAAATTTAAATTGATGCAGCCTCAGCTGGGCGCAGTAGCTCACGCCTGTAATCCCAGCACCTTGGGAGGCTGGTGAATCACTTGAGGTCAGGAGTTTGAGACCAGGCAGGCCAACATGGTAAAACCCCATCTCGACTAAAAATACAATAATTAGTCAGACGTGGTGGTGGGCACCTGTAATCTCAGCTACTCGAGAGGCAGAGACGTGGGAATCGCTTGAACCTGGTGGGTCGAGGTGGCAGCAAGCTGAGATCATGCCACTGCATTCCAGCCTGGACAACTGAGAAAGATTTGTCTCAAAAAAATATAAATAAATAAATAAAAAATGATGCAGTGTCTCCAAATTGGTGCAGTCTCTACAGAGAGTATTAGACTGGGTGGCTTAAACAACAGATATTTATGTTCTCACCCTTCTATAGGATAGAAGCTCAAGATCAGGGCCTTTAGGCTTGGTGTCTGGTGACGGCTCTCTTCCTGGCTTGCAGGTGAATCCTCACATGGCCTCTTCTGTGTGTCTACAGGGAAAGAGAAAGATCTCAGGTGTCTTCTCCCCTTCTTACAAGGACATTATTCCTGTTGGATTGAAGTCCATTCTCATGACCCCACTTCATCTTTATTACGTTCTTATAGGTCCCATCTCCAAATACAGTCACATTAGGGGGTTAAGCCTTCAATATATTAATTTTTGGGGAGGACAAAATTCAGTCCAGAACACAGGGAAATTAAGGGGAAATTAAGTAGTTTCTACCAAAACTTTAAATGTCTATACTTTTGGCTGCTCTATCTACGGATTAGCCATTCTTTTTATTCCTTTACTTTCTTAATAAACTTGCTCTCACTTAAAGAAAAAGTCTATAATTTGATTCAGTCATTCTATTTCTAGATATTTATTGTACAAATTATCCAACAGGTGTAAAATAAAATGTATACAAGTATATTCAGTGCATTGATATTTATGACCGCAAAAGACTGTGAGGAAATTTGTTCTCTTTCCGGGTCCACAAGGGGGTGTAGTTTTAAGGGCAAGAACTTCCCAGAACCACGCGCCACTCCCATCTCTCTCAGTCCGGGAGATTTAACGGTTTATGTTTAAATTTCGCGCGCGCGGGAAGAAACTAAGAGTCAATCACCCCAGCGGAAGTTTAAAGGAACTCCTTTCATTGGCCAGAGGAACTTGGGGAGGTGGGAATTTCTTCCAGGATAAATTCCCCTCCTCCTTCAGCCACACCGGATTTCCAGCTCTCTGGAATCGCCGGCAACATAGTGGGAACTCTCTTTACCTGCCTCGATCTCCCCTCTGGGGTCCCGCTTCCACACGCTCTTCGTGGAATTTTTCTCTCTTCTCTTTTTTCTCTTTCTTTACCTAAATAAGTCACTTTTTACAGACGCTTTTGAGTCCGGCATTTACTTTTATGCGTGGTCTCTTCTCCCATTCTTGGGGAGTAGCAGACCAACAACCTGGAGAAACGTCCTCTCAGGGAAGCTGAGGGCTCCCCTGAACCCCAACAACTGGAAACTACCTAAACATTCATGCATAAGGTATTAGGTAGATAAATTATGGGACATGCATTCAATAAAATACATAAAGGTGAAAAATAATGAAGTAGCTCTGTAAAGGATATGGAACAATCTCCAAGCTTGATTTGTTTGTTCATTTGTTTTGAGACAAGGTCTGTCACCCAGGCTACAGTGCAGTGGTGCAATCATGGCTCACTGCAGCCTCAACCCCCTGGGCTCAAGTGATCCTCCCACCTCAGCCTCCAAAGTAGCTGGGACTACAGGCATAGGCCAGTACACCTGGCTAATTTTTTATTTTTTGTAGAGATGGGGTCCCACTATGTTTCCCAGGCTGGCCTTGAACTCCAGAGCTCAAGTGATCCTCCAGCCTTGGCCTCTCAAAGTGTTGGGATTACAGGCATGAGCCACCGCGCTCAGCCAAAGCTGTACTGATAAATGGAATAAGTGAGGTAGAGAACAAACTGAATAGTATGCTATCTTTGTGTAAAGGGTATGTGTGTGGGGAGAATATATATGAATTTGCTTGTGTTTATATGGACTATTTCTGGAAGATTATTTCTTCTAGATAGAGAAACTCAGTGCCTAGGCTTTTTTCTATATGCCCTTTGTATCTTTGTACCATGAACATATATTTGTGTGTTAATATTTTTAAAGTAACAAAAACGTTCAGGGGAAAGAAAAGTCTGGCTGAAAGAATTTTTTTCACCACAGACAGCCCCCTACCTGGGAGGGCAATGGGGAGGTTGTGGGCTCCTCCTTTTGAGGAATGGGTTCTCCTTTTGGTACAAGCAAAGGGAATCGTCTCTTTCCCGGTACAGTTCCCATGAGAGCGTCACAGAGATCCAGTGTCTGGCAGTATTTCAGTCGGGGCACTTTTTGAGGAGCCCAAGATGAGACACACGCTGCTGCGTTTTGGTTGAGCTGGGGAAAAACAAGTGGGAGATGTGAGGAGGATGGAGGGAGGAGGTCACCAGAAAGGTCTGTCCCACGGCACCAACACCTTCCTACTCCCCAGCCTCCGGCAGAAAAACACCACCTCAGGTGGTGTAGACTCAAGAAGTATCCGTTTATTCATTTCTGAAACAAATACTTAATGAGCACTGTCATGCACCAGGAAGTGTGCTCGGTACCGGCAGGTACTGTTAGAAACTGTTAAGTAGACATAGTGCCTCTAAAAAGACGGCAGTGAGCGGAGCAGCAACGGCGGCGGCTCCCAACCTCCCCTTCCCCTCCCGAGTCCCCTTCCCCTTCCTCAACCCGCCGGGTACTCGCGAGCAGTCGCGGCGCTCCCAAACCACGCCTGCCCTTGGCCAATTGTCCCCAACCGCTGCCTGCGCGCGGCTTCCGGGCCCCCTTGCTCCTCCCCTCGGGCCTCTCAGAGCGCCAGGGGTGCTTCCCGCCCGCCGCCTCGCACTCCCACCTCGCAGGCACGCTGGTGGGCTATGTTGCCTGGCCCCAGCCACAGGTTGCTCACGAGCCTAGGTGCTGCGGCCCGAGATGCGGGCCCCTGAGCCTCCCAGGGAAAAAGAGAAGCCGAGAGCCGCGCGCTCCGCCCCCTCCCCCCCGGGCCGCCACCGCCCTAGCCTGGCGGCAGAAGTAGGAGGTGCAAGCCTCCGGAGCCCCGTGCCGCCGCCCGCAGGCTCAGTAGATAAGGCGTTACTGAGGGGTTGCCTACACTTCAAAGCACGTCTAGTAGTAATGCTCCTGCGGGTGATGATGATCGACTGGAGAATGAATGTTCAGTATCCCTACCAACTCTGCATTGCTCCTGCTGCCTGCAGTACAGAACGACCAAGTCCAAATGATCCAGACAGACCTTTTCAATGTCCAGCCTGCGGGGTGCGATTCACCCGTATTCAGAACCTAAAGCAGCACATGCCCATCCACTCAGGAATTAAACCATTTCAGTGTGACCGCTGTGGGAAAAAGTTCACCAGGGCTTACTCGCTAAAGGTGCATCGCCTAAAGCATGAAGTGATTTCCTAGTGCCGGACTACTTAAACCAGGAACGAGAAGAGACCTTTGTTCAATATGATCTTGGAGAAAACGGTTTCGAAAACAACTCCTCTGTTCAAATGCCTGTGATTTCACAGGTCTCCTCGACCCAGAATTGTGAAAGCACTTTTCCCTTGGGGTCTCTTGGTGGGCTGGCAGAAAAAGGAAGTGCCCGAACTAGAGATGACCTACCCCCCCAAAATCAGAGCTGTATTCTATAACTATTGAGTAATTTTGTGATTTGGCTTCATTTTTGTTTTTTGGAAAGTGCCTGTGTTTGGTCTTGTACATTTAAATTTAATTTTTTTTTTTACAAAAAAAGCTGGGCGGTGGGGGAGGGGGAGATTGGGAAAGACTTTCCCTTTTTACTTTCTGAGCCCAGAAACTGATTTTATTTTTCATAACTGAGAGATTACTTATGTAAGTACACAATAACATGATGTCGAAACAAACTATGAGACTTAGGAGAACTGGTTGACTTAAAACATATACCAGTTTCTTCTTCCATTGTTAAAAGTAGGCTAACAACAGATCATTAGCTAGAGAGGAAATTAGATGATTATTGACCTTCTTGAGATGAAAGTTTACACAAGAAACTAATTACTAAAACAGTCTGACAAATGACCTGAGTAGATACTTACTGCTATACACAAGACATGGTATAATATTTTGTAAAGCCTGTTGTTTTTGGAAGTATTTATGGTAAGCTTTCTTAAAAATAATTAGGGTAAATACTTCTGAAATCCAGCCTTCCTTTTTTTTTAAGCTTTGTCATTTCTATTCTGATTTTTCCTGGTGAAATTCTGGTACTGAGATGGGCATTCTCTGTACCTTTATAGTACCACTCCAAAGGCAAGGAACCATGATTGACAACAGTCAAGCTGTGGATGAAATGACCAGGAATGGAAAATGAAGTATGTAAATCTCACTTCACAGGAACTCTTCTCATATTGCTTTTCTGACTAAAATTGCTGTTTACCTGGTCTGAATGTTAATGCCTAAGACATTGCCCAAATAGTTTTCCCCTTGCCCCATCAATATGTTCTCTTGCATATATTGGCATGCTCCCATATAAAGTAAAAATATTAGAGATATTCTATATTTTATATAAAGGTTTATGTATTGTTGGGGTTGTTTTCGTTGTGCTCTTTTGGACATAATACAGAATTCTCTGTTGAGGCAAAAAAAAAGAAACTGTGTTAGGTACTGGTAGGTACTGTTAGGAACTGTGTTAGGTACCAGCAGGTACTGTTAGGAACTGTGTTAGGTACTGTTAGGAACTATTAGGAACCGTGTTAGGTACTGTTAGGAACTGTTAGCTACTGGTAAAACAGCAGTAAATTAGATAGATGCATCCCTGGCACCAAGGAGCTTCTATTCCAGCAGGGGGAGACAGACAGTACTAAGTGCATACACCATTAGCTGTTTCTCTGCCAAGTGTGCTAAATGCTGTGAAAGAGAAGTTTGAGTGCTCTCAGACCTATGTGTGAAAGGTCAGGGTAGACTTCTCTTAGAAGGTGATATTTAAGGCTGAGAAACTAGCAGGATAAATAGGAGTTAACTAAGTAATAGGACATGGGTTGGCATGAGAGGAGAGAGCACAGCATGTGCACAGGCTCTAAAGCAGGAAGCAACTGAAAAGTCAGTGGGCCTGCATCACAGAGAGAGATGGGAAGAGGTAAGGCAAAGGCTAAATCTTGCAGAATTGAGATGAGAATTTTGGATTTTTATCCTCAGAGCTGTGGGAAGCCATTGAATGATATTTGAAGCAAGGGAGTAAAACAATCAGATTTGCATTTTAAAAATACTGGCTAATATCAGGGAAACGATTTAAAGGGGGCAAAAAGGGAAGGCAGATGACCAATAAGAGACTATGGTAATGGCTTAGGTGAAACATGATGGTAGTCTACTCTGGAGGTGGTTAGTAAAGATAGACATAGGCCAGGCATAGTGGCTCATGCCTATAATCCCAGGATTTTAGGAGGCTGAGACAGGCTGATCTCCTGAGGTCAAGAGTTTGAACAGCCTGGCCAACATGACAAAATCCCGTCTCTACTAAAAATACAAAAATTAGCTGGGTGTGGTGGCCCATACCTGTAATCCCAGCTACTCAGGAGGCTGAGGCAGGAGAATCGCTTGAACCCAGGAGACAGAGATTGCAGTGAGCCGAAATCACCCCATTGTGCTCCAGCCTGGGCTACAGAGAGAGACTCCACCTCAAAAAAAAAAAAAAAAAATAGACATGAACAGATTTGACGGAGATGTAGGAGGTTAAGTGAATACGACATGCTAATGGACAGGATATGGAATACAGAGAAGAAAAGATAGTCAACATGACTCCCAGGTTCAAATAAGTTTATTATGCTGGCACATTGCTTTACAAAACACTTTTCCATACATTATCTAGTATGAGCTGAACCTCAATCTTGTAAACTACATTAAGCGATCATTATTCCAATTTTACTGATGAGAAAATAGGTTCAGAGAGTTAACATTTATTTTACTGAATGTAAGATCAATTAATATACTGTCTCTTTCCAGAAAGAATTTAAGACTAACAATGAAACATGGTATTGCAGAGGAGCACATTAAAACGATTCAAATGATGAAAGAATAGAGATGGAACCCAAACAGAGCCAAGGAGGAGGCTAAAAGTACACACTATAGCCTACCTATGCACATGCTTTCCATACACTAGAAACTTACCTCTAAGCTCCAGGAGGGAGGCTTTTCCAATATCTCACAGCTTATGGTAAAGCATAGACTCAAACTGAGGTCTTCCAACTCAAACCCCACACATTTGATTTCACATTAGCCTTAATCCAAACCACCGCTGAGAAGGTCTCTCTATTAAACCTTTTGTTACAATCTCTCAAGAATTTCTGTATCTAAATACAGAAGACTAGTTTGTTACCATCCTGTCTGTTGGGAACAATTAGTGTAGTTGAATGAAATGTTTTAAATATCTGTTTGAAGGCATCAAGGCAGTCCTCACTGATGCCTCATCTTGAGGGATCAAGATCTTGGGGATAAGAAGAGCAGAGAGAGCGAACTTGATACTGGCTCCCACTCTTCCATCTGGGTCATTTGCCTATTCGTAACTGGCAGATGAGAGCCTGAGAATCTGGCAGTCTTGCAGGGTTTGAGTTCGAGGGTCATCAAGGATGAGGGGCCGCAATAAACACCCCAGGCTTTCCAATGAGACTGCAGAAGGGCTATGCCCCAGGAGTTGAGATAAGCAGGAAATAGACTAATCCTTATAAAAGGCTGAAGCCCAGTTTTAAATCAATCTCCATTATGGCACTCTGTCCCTATCCTAACTTCCTACCAGAAAGAAAATTCTGTGGGGGATATTAGTGTTATCCAGAGCCTGACATTATCTATGATCACAGTGTTCTTTCTCGCATTCCCACAGATTCATTCAGCATCCCAGCTCAGACCTTCTGCTAACACTTGCTATGCCAGGCACGTGGCCTGCCTCCCCACTGGAAGCTTCAGGCTCCCGGGGAGTCTGAAGCCAAGTCCATCCTCTAGGGTTGGAGGAAAGCTGGATATGTCTGAGATCAGCACTCTGCAATCAAATTCTTTTTGTCTGTACTCCTCAAAAAGCAGCAGCCCCAAAGCTGGCACCAAGTCGTTCCTGGATACTGGAAAGTCGGGCCTTAGGAACAGGTAGAGAGAGGTAGTGCCAGCTGCACATTGGTTGGTTGGCTGCTGGTCAGTGGGCAGGTGGTGAGGAAGAAAAAGTGGACAGTGGGTCTTGGAGAGCCAGAAGGAGCAGGCTCTGGGAAACAAAGTGTAGCTCTTGCTGCTGCCTGCCCTTTCCACACAGCCAGCTCCCACCTCTTCAGTTATTACCAAGCTGGGGTCAATAAGAACTTCTGACACTTCCTTGAACTTCAGGCTAACTTATGACACTAACAAAGACACCTAAAGGTGAACTGAGGACAGACCTCTGGGAGTACTGGGCAGTGTGACATGGTGGGAATTTGGAATCAGACAGACTTTGCTATGTGGTCTTAAACAAATTACCCAATTTCTCTGAATTAAAGTTCTTTGAATGCAAGCAAAGACAAAACGAGTTTTGGTTGACTTAAAAAAACAAGAGTGTGAGGGAGCTCCTAGGTTGATGGAGAAAAGGAGAACCAGGCTCAGGACTAGGAGAAGGATGGACACCAGGGCAGGTCGAAGGTCTAAGCAGCAGGAACAGAGGTTGGTCTGTCTCGGAGTCTCTGCTGCTGAGATGGATGGACTCCACGTTTCTCCCTTCTCTAACCCACTTTACTCTGCAAAGTCCTGGGAGAAGTGTCTAATTGTTCCAGTATAAGTCACATGCCCACTTCTTGGCCATGGGCGAGCAGGGCTTCTTTGCTGGCAGATCCACCAAGGCTACACACAATAAGGGAAAATAAATTCCTCCAAAAACCCTTTTTGGCCTGCAGTTGAGCTGAGGGTTGTCAGAAGAAAATTATACTGAGTTCCACTGGGGTTGAGGGATGAGGGATTATGAGGTTGTCCATTGGAAATGGGTTGGGGACAACGTTGTTTGCTCTGTTTATGGTTCTATTCGCTACACTTAGAACATTCAGCATATTAGCAACTCAAAAAATGTTAAATGAATGGATGAAACACAACCTTTGCATTTAAGGAAAGCCTTTGCGCTCAAAGAAGTAACTGATGGGAATTGCAAGCTCCTATGGCAGACAAGGATGGAGAACTATTTGTCCTTTAAGTGCTTCTTAAATCACATGAAGTCTGCTCAGCTCTGCAAAGTAGGATCAACTCTCAGCACTGACACTGAAGGAAGTGACTGTGATCCAAGACTTAGAGGAGGCAGATGCCTGAAGCTCTTCACCCACTGGCTCTTGCCTCATTTCTTTCCTGCTTCTTGCTTCCTCTCACTCTGACCTCTGGCCATCTGAATGACTTGCAGCTCCTGGCTGCTTTACTCCACCCCCTCTCCTTCCAACTCCTAGTCTTTGACCAACCACTAGCTTTTAGGATTCCACTTAAATACCACTTCTTCCAGAAAGCCTTCCTTGAACCCAAATCCCAAGGCTGGACTAGTTGGCCCTCCTAGTGCTCCCACAACACCCTGGGTTTACCCCAATGATGGATCTCACTGCTCTTTGTTATAATAAAGAGCACTTTCCTACCTGTTCCTGTTTATTTTTCATTCTCCACGTGCTTTGACTTGAGCTCCTTGAGTGCAGACCCTGGTCCTTCTTGTGTCCTCAGGGCCGACCTGGCTCAGGGCCTGGTCCCCTAGTAGAAGCTCAGTAAATCTTTGTTGAATGAAAGAATTAATGAATGTGGAGTTAACAACAGGACTCATTAAAGAGTTCTGGGTTGCAGGACCTGAAATCTTCCATGTGCTTCAGAGGTCATTGTGTCTAAGATGTTTCTGTCTATGGTGTTTTCCTTAAACTATTTCTCATGATTGTCAGGTAATAATTATAAGATGAAATAATTTTAAGACACTTCCAGCTCCTTGCCACTAGCTCCTCATTCTCAGCCCGCACTCTCACAGAACTATTTCCCTAATTCCCACCATATGCCCTTCTATCCGTCTGATAAACTACACATACCCTTTGGTTTATACATACTGGAAATCTTTATCTTCTTTATTTACTGTGTGTGTATTTAATAGGACAGCTGTCTCAGTCACATAGCCAGTACCAAGAGAGCAAGTGCATAATGCCTTTCTTTGTGCAGAACTTTGTGTGGTGCCACAAGAAAGCAGGGGCATCTCAGAGGAGACAATGATCAGAATTGTTTTGTGTTCAGTAGGAAACAGAAAGGGTAGAGTTTGCATGAGCATAAACACAGGCTGGCTGCAACTAATAGAAAATTCTTGAGAGTATTCCATCCCCCACCCAAAGTCTACCTCATTGTGTCATTCAGCCCGCTTTATCTCCCCAGCCAACCCAAGGCCATCCAGGACCGCAGTGTGTAGGTGGGCTTTGAGTAAATAGGCTGGTAATGTTAGGACTGATGGACCTCTTGGATGTGATATGGGAAAGGATTCAAAGGAAGGCCAAGGGTGAAAGTTCTGCCAGGCTTTTTTTTTTTTTTTTTTTCCCAAAGACAAAAGATGGTAGGTAGTATGTAGCAACACCTGTGAGGTTTTTTTTTTTCTGGCTGGATCCTGACTGATACACCACCTGTGAGTAACTTAC